AAAATTCTTTTAATTGAGTTACAGAATAATCTTTATTTATCTTGAGTCATAGTAATCCTTTGTTTAAAGTATTTGCATAAACGCACTGTACGTATCTTTATCTATTCTGTTTATTTAATAATTTTAATTTTGGCATAGGATTGAAAGACGCCGTTGGTAGTTCATGTATATCCAATTTGAACAATAAAACATAAAGTCAGGTTTTTGGTCTACAACATACCCCTTAAAATATGTTAATCAAGATAAAGGTGGTTTAATGATAGAATTGCATGCAGAGAGTCCATTTAAACTTAACCGGAAATGGAACTTCCTTTTTGTTGTTGCCAAAACAGTGACATGATTTGGACTTTAAAATCAAACAAATAATAAGAAATCATGCTCAAGGTTAGCTGTTTTTTGATTCTTAGGAAAATGTAATGAATGAAAGAGAAATATATAAATATAGACGAATCTTCCCTCTCTGATGTAGATGATCTACCTCGAACTACAGTAGTCGTGACTTGCATTTCTATGATTTGAACATATTTTATTGTTTAGATGTTATATAACAAAAGAATTGCACACAATTTCTGAAAACTTAGAACGCGTTCTCCTTTTCAATATATTTCTCAACATTTTATAATTAATTTAGCAGAGCCTTAATGTTTTTTTTATTACAAAGAATGTAATAGTTGATTTTACAAATATGTTTATCATGCGCATTTCAAACATCAAGCTTTCAGTTCTCGAAAACATACATTTTCACCTTCTTTTTAACTACTGCAAACACTAACCACAGGGCTCTTACATGTTCAAAAATGCGATGTTGTGAAACTTCAGGGCAGGTTGCCCTGGTAACCATGATATATGACAACCAATTTTATCTAAATTGAGTTTTGGTATTTAAGACTTATCAAAGAGGGATTGAAGAAATTCTGAGACTTTCAGTTGCACAGCTCCTAAATAAAAATTCAATTCATTATATAGAACGGCTCTTAGCATTGATCGTATGGTTATTAAACGTCTTTCCTTTCCTTATTTCCTTATAAAATAAGGAATACATTCTTTAATGTAAATATTTGCTTATTAGCCAATACCACCATAATAGCGAGTCCAGGGAGGCGGCGCGAAGCGCCGCTCGTGTAGCGAGCTCAGTAGACTAACGTGTGCGAACGGAGAAAATTCGGGTTCAAATCTGCACATTGTTCCAAGAAATTTTTATCTCACGGCGTGAAAAAATTCCAAACTCCCAATAATCCTTTGCGGTGCATAGCAACATGGTGGCTAAAACATAGCAACAACTTACTTGAAAGAAAATTACAAACAACGATTTAATGCAGTCTCCATACCACAAAACTATCGTTTGTGTTCTAAGTCAACAGGACTTTTATTTGACGTCATACTTTCGTCACTTAAACGGCTCGGGTATTTCCGATTTTGTCGGAAACTTCCGAAAAGTTCGGAATCTCGATCCCGATGCCTGGAAAATGAGGATAGGCAGTGCAAGTAAATGCTGTGTAAAGGTTTTTGATAGCGAGCGCAGCGAGCTCTTAAAGCAACGCCTGTGCGAAGAGAAAATTCGGACTACTGCACATTCATTCGATAGAATTTTTTGATGCAGTAATTTGGACCCACAATGCATCACTTGTTTTAGCTACGTTCTCGCGAGAATCCCGGCAAATGTTCAACAAAAAGTTTACTCGCCTTGATTTAATGGATATATATTGAAGATAAATAGAAAACAAAACGTTCTTCATTAACTTTCAGCACTGTTCAGGCTTTTTCTCGGTATATTGCGACTTACATACGTCATGTGACGTCAGAGTCTAGACGCACCAAATGTCACGTGCGGTTTAACGAGCCCGATCTAAATCAAAACAACAGAAGAGTTTGCGCTCGCTCTAACGGTCGCACCGTCAACATATTATTTCTAAAGTTTATTTATAAAATGTGCAATTTAATGATGACAGGAATCAATAACTTCATATGCCTTATTTTGAATTCCACAATTAATTTACAAACTTATTGATACTTTACAGCAAATAATTTGGAAAGTACAAAGACATAAGAACTTTAGAAAACAATGCAAAAGAAAACACAATTTGTCTTTACTCAATCCTAACATTCTTCCTAACAGTTTTGTTTTCTCAAATATTTTTAGTGTTTTCCTTTGATACAATGCTTTTTTCAATATTGACATCCCAGGTGAAAGGTAACGTGCATGTGTATGTCAATATGCCAGGTTGCCATAGTGTCTGATGTCAGTGGGTGGAAACTGGACAAAGGAGACCTTTTTCTTTTTTTTTTTTATTTTAAAAATTTGTAGCATACAACAAAATTTTATTGGATAGTGATTATTATATAAGTACAGCTAATATTTACTTTTTATCATATCAAAATATACATGTGTATTACTTCTACATAGAAAAAAGTGCATCATACATATACTTATTTATACTGTATTCAGAGTTATTTACATCCCGTGTTATGTTCGCCCTTTCTCATTTTGAAACAAGTTTGCCCCGTTTTAAATTCGGCATGAAAGATTTTTGTTTACAGAAACTATACTATTTACTTTGAAATCACCCCGTAATAAATTGCCCACTTTCAATAAGGACCAAAGGGGTGAAAATAATACGGTGGCAAACATTCTCTGTACACAGTATATCATACATATACCAAAATAACAAAAAAAAATTGTAGCAATTTCTATGATCAAAACAGTGGATTTTTTGCAGCAAACTCTCTTTTAACAACTAAAAATTCATGCAAAAAATACATTTTTAATATGCAGGGAAAAGAATAATTAAGCAGGGTACCAAAAGGAATCCTATTCAGCACCAACACTCTCTACATTGGTGACCAAGGCTACTTTACAAGAGGACTGCTTTCCTTCTTGCTTATACAATAAGCTGGGTGAGAGGTGGGGTTGTACTCTACAGTCCTATATTGCAAGGCAAATCCTCCTCCAGAAAGAGTTTTCCTGGGGGTATTTTAGAGGCGTAAGCCAAATTCATAGGACTGATATGTTTTTTCTAAAGAAAAAACACATTGTTGTACCTTGTTTTTAATTAAAAGTAATAACATAATATATATATGTACGAGTATATTTCCTCAAGACAGAAAGTATTAAATATGCTTATATATAATATAATATTCAATCTAGTTAATGCATATGTACATCTTCTTTCTTTCAAATATAGAAGGGTCCATGGTCATTTGTTATTTCATTTTCAAATCTATCGATCGATTGCACCATAGTTAGGTTTAACAAATAATACATTAACAATAAAATGTGATAAATGCACAGCCTGGGATATGATGATTGCAGTAATTGGAGAAAAAATATTCAATTAACAACGTCCATATTACCGTAAACCAACTATTATTTTCAACATCTTTATTGCTATTCGGCAAACTGTAATCAATTCGCGATGATAAATGCTCGCGATGTAGGAAACATTTTCCACAAATACACAGTTATATTAATGATTTTTAGTGAGATAAATATTCGCGAAATTATAAGGTCACGAAAGTCAAAGATATTTATCGCAGGCAAAACAAGGGCTGGGGCCCGTTTCACAAAGCCTACTTAGGACTAAGTTCTATCTTAGGAAAGAACTTTTTCCTAAGTTCATTACTTATCCGTTTCACTAATCTCGTCTTATCTTAGGATACTGTAAACGTGGAAAGTTTGACGATGTGCTTATTTTGACTGTTTTGACGATTTTTCTTTTCTCGTCAAAATTTCCACACGTCAAACTTCGCATCATATATATAGCGTCACAACATAGACCATTGTACAACATTACGCTTAATTTTCTTGGCTTTCCACTATTCAAACAAGTTAAATTGATGCAAAGCATCAAATCGGCCGCAAACAAAATTTAGCATAAACAAATTTCTTTTACAATTTTCAAAGTGTCCATGAAAGGAAAGCACGTCTAAATACTAGTATTCAAAGGTGAAATAGTTGATTCATTTTTATTTTAGGCTGTCTTCAAAGCAAAATAAATAATTAATTAAAATTAAAAAAATAGACATTTACCCCATTTGCTTATAAACAGATTCATCGATGTAAAAAGGGCAGCAATAAATGATAAGAATTTATTGTCTTCAAAATAAAGATGTAGGTATCTCAAGATGAACCAGGTGCTGATACCCTGGATCTTGGTCACGTGATAATGCCCATGGCTGTGCTGCAAGGCGCAGTACAAAATGTAGAAAAATTTCTTTGTGTTATTTGCAGGCGTAGAGCATGTTCAAAACAATTTTTACTGGTTGAAATTTTTTTCAATTTTTATTCACCAATCCATGCACATTTACACGTCATTTTTATCCGGAAAATCATGACGATTTCCTTTCATATCTTATACACTCCCAGGCTGGGGAGTATCTATTGTTAACTCTTTTTACATAACCACAAATGATCAATTATCTGATGAGAAATGATAAAGAAATTGAAACACAGTAGCAACAATTAACACTATATTCAAAGCAATTTTTAAAAATATTTTACTCATGGTTTTTATTTGTTATCATTTGAGAAATATTTTCCTGACCTAATGAAAAATTAACGTCTCATTTCCCCATGTGCACTTTCTAACACAATCACAAATAGATCGGCCGCTGCTGCGGCCGATAACTAGATCAAAGTTACTGTTAATTTCTTTTGTAATTAGTTATGAAAACAAAGTGACATATAATCACATTTTTTAAAACCATTGAATCTCAACTAGTGTATCAAATACTGCATACATACCTTAGCGTAATTATCACGCCATGTTTGAACTAGTATTTTACCTCAGGCAATTCCGACGATGCTTTTGTATCCCCGTGAATTCAAAGATACATACATGTAACTCTTGATTAAACATTTCGTCAAAATTAACACTCGTCAATTTTCGTAAACAAAAAAATCGTCAATTTTTCAACTCGTCAATATAACCACGTTTACAGTATTCCTAAGTTATGTCGTAACTTTAGGACAGGTAAATCGATGACTTAGGAAGAAACTAAATATGGCGGCTGCATATTTAATAATAAACGAACGGAGACTGTTACGGAGAGAGAGGTTGTTTAGGGATAGAAACAATCCATTGGACTATATGGATGACCGTGAGATAATTTCAAAGTTTAGACTGCCTCGTCATTTGATATTGGACATCTGTCAAATGATACAAAATGACATCACAAGGCCTACACGAAGGTCTCATGCACTCACTTCCACCATCCCTGCAGCTTATGGCTGCATTACGTTTCTTTGCTACTGGTAACTTTCAAACAGTAACTGCCGACTTACATGGAATAAGTAAGTCGAGCATTTCAAGAATTGTGAGAGATGTGTCTCAATCATTGGTCAAAATAAGTCCAAGATATATAAAAATGTCCATTGATGAGAATGAAATTACAAATAGAATGTATGATTTTTCAAGAATTTGTGGCTTCCCTAATGTTATAGGCGCAATAGATGGTACACATGTGGGAATAAAGTCCCCATCATTTGAAGAGCACGTCTTTGTGAATAGAAAAAATTACCACTCTATAAACACTATGGCTGTGTGTGATGCAAAACTGAAATTCATTAATATAGTAGCAAAGTGGCCTGGATCATCACATGATTCGTTTGTATGGAACAATTCCACCCTTTGTCAACTTTTTGAAAACAAAAACATCCCAAGAGGTTGGCTTTTAGGTGACAGTGGATATCCACTTAGATCATTTCTACTTACACCTGTTATGAACCCAACTACACCCAAGGAGAATGCCTATAACACAGCACACATAAAAACGAGAAATGTAATTGAAAGGTGTTTCGGAGTGTGGAAAATGCGCTTTCGCTGCATGGACACTTCTGGTGGTACTTTACAGTTTTCACCCAAAAGAACCTGCAACATCATAGTGGCGACTGCAGTTTTGCACAACATTTGTGTTGAAAACAGAGTCCCAGAACCACAAGGCAGGCCTGTTATTAATGACGGTAATGACTGTGTATATCATGGAACCCTAAATGATGGAAATGACAATAGGAGACAGTTGATTGAAGCTAGATTTTAGAAAATGTATGCACATGTACTAATGAATGACATGTACTGAAGAATAAAATACTTTTGTGTATAAATGAGTGTAATATGAAATATAAAACATTTATAACATCTACAAAATTTATTTATTGGATAGGTGTTACTGTGGCATTAGAAATAATGCCCAACTGACAAAGTTTAATATTATGTTTTTCTTGCTCAATTTGCAGTCTCCCCTGCTCTATACTAAGCCGTTTCTGCTCAACTGCCAGTCTTTCTGCTTCAAGCTCCATTCTCTTTTTCTCTATTTCCAGTCTTTCTTTTTCAATATTAACTAATTCAAGTGATGGTGATTGCAGGTCCTGTTTTCGCTTCCTAGTTGGTGCTACAAGTAAAAAAGAATGAACGAATAAAATTATGTTACACATTTGAAGATTAGTACATGTATAAGTAAAGACAGGCGCAGGATTATTTTCCAGGTTGGGATGTACATGAACTCTAAGATATGTCAGACATAGAAAGAAAATAATTTTTAAAAAAAAGTCAGGAAAATTCTTTTTCTCTTCAGATACATGTCTTTCATTTCAATCTTTAACGGGGTCTGTATTTCTCAGGGAGCTATTTTTATCTTTTGAATGTCATTTTTTTTTAGAACTAAACAAAGCATTATTTTCAGTGCAGTGATTGATCAGTTTTAAAGGCGATGATGACTCAAGTATACAGATTGGAATGATGAGTTTACCATTAATGCATGTTGATGTAGGTTTGCTAGTTTCACTACATGTAGCAGTAACTGTTGTTGTAGCCGTAGATACTTCCAATGATTGGTCCGTTGATAGACTTTCTAAAAGGATACCCCCTTTTCTTTCCACTTCATTCGACTCATCTTTAAAATAAAATAAAAATTATAAATATTATAATAAATAAATTATATACGTTATATATATATTAATGTTAGGGTGTGTGTGTGTGTGAGGATGTGTTTGTAGGTGAGCAGTGGCTGATCCAGAGGGGGGGGGGTTACGTTACGGGGGTTGCAACCCAACCCAACCCCCCCACCCCCTTTGGATTTGCAAAAAAGAAAGAGAAATAAGAAAGTTCCAATTTTTTGTTGTGTGTTTACTATAGAAAATGTAAGGTGAAAGGCTAATGTTGTAATATATAAAGAAATCCGGTTGTTAAAACAAAATAAAACCCCATCCCTTTACAAAATAGGATTTTAAGGTTCGGAGATTTATTTTCCTTTCTTTTTCAAAAACTTTCTGGTAATGTATAGTTGTATACAAGTACTTTTTCCCAGATTGATCAACGTCCCACTTTCAAAAACCGTACTCGACCCTGCAACGATATTCCATTGATTTATTTAACTTTATGTATGTGTACAACGTACGCTTTAACTGTTTTCGCCTTCAACCCCCCTTTTGAAAAATACTTCAACCCCCCCCCCCTTTTGAAAAATTTCTGGATCCGCGCCTGGTGAGGGAAGGTGTATGAATGT